CGCGTGTGGGAATGATTTAAAGGGGTAAATCATCATGTAAGCGCTCTTAGAAGGTCTGGAAGGTTTGTGGTGATCTAGATCTTCAGGTAATGTTTGCCAAGGCATGGCTGAAGCTGCTGAGCATTGCTGAGCATGGCTGAGCATGTAAACAAGTGGGCTCAAGCTTGCAAACAGTAAGAAGGAGGCTGGAGAATGTACTGGGTATATGATGGGGACTTTGTACACTCCAGGTGTAATACACAAGTATTATTTACTAAGCTACAGTACCAAGAAAGGCTCTCATGGGCCCAGAGTTACACCATGGGCCACAGGTAATTCTGGGCCTTCAGGTGTAATTTCTACATGGGAAATCAGTGTTCCAAGCATGAAGTTCAACACTTTGGATCAAAGAATATATATGGAAAAGGGTAATACATCATTAGAGAAAAGTCAGAGCAGGTAGATATGCCCAGAACCAATATTGCAACCCAAAGCTAGGTTTATTCACAGAACCTAACTGCTTATATCTCTGCACTAATTGCACAAGTATACAACCCCAAATCCTGCCTGATTTACCCAAATTGATATACCCTGCCCCTTGCCCCATTATACACACTTACTTTAGGATTCTGTGACTTTTCTCTCATGTACCAAACTACTAAAACTCTACTTTAGACCTGCCTTATTCCATTACAAATCAATCTCTAGTGTGTTTTAGTATAGTATATTTTAGATTAGTTTGGTTGGCTAGGATGGTATAGTCAATTGGGTCAGTCAGAAAGACTGAGACAGGGTTTATTTCAGAATACTTGCCAGGAGGATATTATCAGGTCCAGAGTCAGCATCCTGAAACAGTACCCAGACTGGAACCTGAATTAGGTGTTTGGTGGGATCAAGATAAGGCAACTAGATCAGGATAAAATGAAACCCACAGCTTCTAGTTATTACTTAACCAGTCAATTCTATTTCTAAAGACTTGTGGTTTAGATCCAGTTTCTAGTGCAACCTTCTATATTTCCTATATTTAACCACACAGCACTTCTTAATATAAGAATCTAATAATACATGCATTCCTCCCTGTTTCACCTTAACCTCCCACATCACATAACCAGCAAGTTCAGCTGAACCTCTATAGTTTTCTAGGTGTACATGTCACAGTATGGACTACATGCTATCTGCTTGTTCTCAAGCTTTAGCAATTGCATGCTGCACTATAGTGTCTGTAATAATTGCTTCCGGTAGTTTGAATAAGCTCCAACTGCTGTCATGTAGTGTATGGAATGCTGCTCTTGCTCGAGCTACCAATGGGTTGATAGCTGCCGCTGTCGCTGCAAGGGCAGTTTCCTCGCGATAGGCCATCGGGAATGTCCGGCTCTTTGTGAATGCTGGATGTTTATGACTATTGACATCTCTAATGAAAATTTTCAAAATTTGCTGCGGTGCTGCTTCGTACACCCTCGCATATATTTCGATGTCGCTCTCCCCAGAGTCGCCGATGAGGATGAATTGGCGGGAACCAAAGTCCCGTAAAATCCTACTGATGACGTTGTGCTTATAGGTACTACTGCTCATGTTTTCGCGCTCCCAAACATTTCGCAGATTTAACGAGCCAGGTGGGAATCTGCTCGTTTTGAAGAAGGCGCTCAGCATGGGATATAGTTGATATGGGCCAGCGCTGACATAATGCACGGACACTTTCTTCGATCGAAGGTAGTTGTACGCATCTGCCATCCCAGCCACATCTTTGGCCTCCGAGAACAAGGCTTTGTTGATGGCAGCCATACGCCCTTCGTGGACCGATGATTCCTTGATGGTATCGTCTACATCCTAATAATGTCGCCTTATTAAAAGGGTAATCATTTTCCAGGTACAAGCAAACATACCGATATTATTGATATCCCCGTGGGAGAAATCAACTCAACTGATCCCACAGCGTGCAATGCTACGTAAATTACGGGAGTTGCCATCATCTACTAAGAGCTTGAACAAAACAGACTTGCAACACAACTTACAATGACATCCAACTTTAAAGGCCGCGATTCGAATCTGGTCATGGTCCGCCACAGATTCATCCTTTTCTTGTCGCCAGGCGTCAACAATCTTTGAAGGCAACTCAATAGTTCCAGAAAAAAACCCGCTCGTGTCCGTTGTAAGTGTTATTCCTGTCTCAGTCGTTCCCAGGGAAGCACAATCCAGTGCCTTGATCTCGTCCTCCTCTAATGCTTCCTCATGATCGATGACCTCCCCTATGTCAACAGCACGGTCAATCCCATTCCGCTTCAAAACCAATGCTGATGGGGCTAGCCCAATAGCGCAAACTCTGATATCCACGTTCTTCAGCGAATTTGCTAGAAACATGCCTGCTCGTTCATCATGAAGCGAACGAGATGCAGCATCAACTGTCGAGGGGGCTAGAAATCTCCGAGAAAGGCTCAAAATGAGTTTGCGGCGGCGACTCTCCGCACGCGTCGCATACACCCAACCCTTTACATTCACCAGCCAAACGGTTCGGGATGGGTTCCCTGATTCTCCAGATACTTGGGGCACAGGTGTGGCCGGGCATGTAGGCACCGTCGCTGGGTCATGTTCCAGACGGGCATAGGTAGGAAAGAGCAAAATGCGTTCAACGAGGTCGCTTGAATTTTTTGCATTTGGGAGCTCCGTTCCGACGTTTATTCCCACGTCTGGTGCAGGATTTGATTGGATAAACGAGTCGCGCAGAGGGAACGAACCTGGCAATGATGACATCGCATCTCAAACTACTACTTGTGGAGGTGCGCTGGTGACTCTGGTGAGGCGTCGTGATCACGTGTCGCCAAGACAGGTGGTCATTGCCTTCTGAAGGGAAGGAGAAGCGAAATAACGAAATTCAGTCTTCAATTCCAGCCTCAGAAGCTTCACGGTAGACAATGTATCACCATCCTAGCTACAATCAACCTGGCGCCGTTCCTCCACTCCCTCCTCGCAGGGAGTCGGACGGCAGACCACCGTACGTTGCCTTCCCTTCGCCCGGCTCTCAATACGGGCCAGCACACAGCACCACAGCGCCATATCCCACCCCAGCCTATCCGACTTCAACTTCTTCTCCTTATGGTGAGAGAACGAACTCAAAACTTTCCTTGGATTTGATGGTTCTCATTAAGGGTTTGAGAAAGGCTATCCGCACGGCGACTATCGCATCCCTTCCAACAATGTCTCTTATCCGTCGTCAACCCCCACCCATTCTGCTCATGCGTCGTTTGACTCTACAAAGCTAGCTGAAATTGAAAAGCAACTTCAACAGGAACGTGAAGAGCGACGGAAATTGGAAGATCGCGAAGTTGAACGAATCAAGTCGATCTCGCTGCTTGAGAACCAGCTTCGAAGTATGAAGCTTGACATGGACCGTACGGCAGAGCGAGCTGGCATTGTCTCTCAAATTGAATCAAAATTGCAGTTTGAGCAGGATGAAAAGCGGAAGCTTCAAGATCGTTTAGCCACTACGGTGCAACTGGAATCCCGCTTGGACCACGAGCAATCCGAGCGCCGGCGATTGGAGGAACAACTGGCCAGCTATCCTGCTACTATAGCGGAACTGGAGCGCAAGATTACGTTGGAGAAGGCGGATAAAAAGACACTTGAAGAGTGTGTTGCATCCATGGCTGCGCTGGAACCATTGCTGAAGGCTGAACAGGAAGAAAAGCACCGACTTGAAAAGCGCCTCCCCGAAGTGGAGTCGCAATTACGTGCGAGTCAGAAAGCTCTCACGGATTTGGGGATTGCCAAAGCAGATATGGAAAGGAATATTGAGAGCAAGAACCGAGAGATTGCTTCGTTGAAGAAGCAACTTGATCCACATAGTATGGACGAGCAACGGAAGAAGTTGGAAGATGCAAGACTGGAATTGGAACAACTTGTCAAGGCGAAAGATGATGAGATATCGATGTTGATCGACAAGCTGAACCACGAAGCGTACGAGCGAACGGCCGTAACAGACCAACTCCACCTGTTGCAAATGCGTTATGAACCTCACCCGCCACCAGTAGGCGATGATAGCGTTTACACAAGGTGTGTCCGAAGAACTCGTATACAAGAGAACGCTCCTCGCAGCATTAACCCAGTAAACCTTACTTGCTCTCAGACCACCCCCAACCCAACCCTTAGCAGTACCCAAAGGTAGCTGTTACCCTTGCACATCATTCTCAATTATCTCTTTATCTTTTTCTGAGGAAGGAACATAGGCGTGGACCACGAACTATGGCAGTTGTTTGTCATGGTAGATCCTTACCAGTTGAAGGCGATAAATGCTGTGCAACTCCGAGACATCTTAGTTCACGGTATGCCATATACCGGTTGCTACCGCGCGGATTGTTAACCAAGTTGCACATGCAGGGCCTTGGCCAGCACTGGAGTATTCTACAGTTCAGATTTTATATGCAATTTACGACAGATCTGGGACAGGTTTCAAATTTGAACAATTCAATGCTCTGTGGGACCTGATTCATGAGTGGCTCGGAGTCTTCCGAGAATTTGATCACCACCAAGACGAAACAGAATTTGGGCACGTTGACAGGAAGGATCTTCGAAATGTCTTAAAGAAATGCGGAATTGTCACGCCAGAGCGCTCTCTAACGTCACTCTTAACAAAGGGATATCAACAAGGTATCGCGTCATTTCAGATACATGTGCTCTGACGTGCGCTGATGCAGAATGGACCTAATGTAGAACATCCACTTGGATGGGATGATTTCTTACGATGCGCGGCAAGACTCAAGATCATTATGGACATGTTCCAGAAGATTGATATGGATAAGGTACTAGAGCATGCTGTCTTCTCTGAGATGCAGTTTTTGATTATGCACGAAATGCGCAGGACAACTGGATAACAATATCGCGCGACCAATTTATGGAGCTCGTGATAGGTAGCATTTAATTCGTGATCGACTTTGGAGTGTACCAACATGGGGTTACCCTAGCTAGTTATGGACAATGTTCTGTTATATAGTATCGCTGTGAATATGCCTGCACGACCTCATAATTCAGCCCGTACGTAAAAAGCAAAAACGCACTTGGTCCGAGTGATGAAACAGAAAAGAAGATCAAAATCACGAATCGGTGGTAGTTTTGAAATGTTCTTCATCCACAGTGCTGTACAAATGGCCCTCATTGCAAAGCCATAGCATAGCATCCCTGGTATCACGAAGTTCAGTTAGCTGCGCGAACATATTCCTTATGATAATCCAAAATATGCACACCTGATCTCGGACTCACTTCCGGCTCCTCGTAACCTCTGAGCAACTGCATGAATTGGTGCGCCATCTTGGGTGGCCTGATATTGCTTGACAACTCCGATGATACTGTTGTGCAAAGGCGTGTATCCGCTTCCACTCCCAGTGACCGGCATCCCGTTAGCGTAATTAACTTGCTGAGGTGCATATGAGGACTGTGCGTAAGCAGGATTTGGCACACCATTGAGGTGCATATTGCCCATTGAGGAAGAGTCGCTTGTTCTCTACATCGAAATAATGAATATTCTTGACAATTAAGAGTCGTCCCCAGTTCGGTCTCACCAATGGGCCCTTCGTAAGATATAGGTGGACAAATATGGTTTGCAAATTGTGAAAAGCAATCTCGTCGGCAGAATCGACCGCGCGGATGTGAAATGCCGTAATGTTTCTCTTGCTGTTGAAGACGCGAAGGTGGCCGGTTATCCGCACATAGGACCCCTCACTGGAAACCAGCGCAATCGTTAAAGTGGTTCCCGGTCCGTGCATCAAAAATGAAGCTCAATCATTTACTTAAACGAATCTGTGCGTTCCGTTTCGAAGTCGCTATCGTTTTGGTCCAGCCATTTTTTAACCTCCATGGTGCTTGTTCCGTCATCAATCAAATAGTTGGTATGTGTCGACTGCTGATTCATGCTGTTGATACGTCCGATGAATGTAATCTAAAATATCCGGTGGTCGTTCTTGCATGTAGAACGGCAGCAAATTCGAATACTTGGCTTACCTGGGAAACCTCCTCATTATCAAGGGTAAAGGGCCCATCATTGTAAGTTTGTTTAGCATCGAGTAGCTGCTTAAGGGTGACCGGGCGAATAGCCTGAGTTCCTCCTCCGCTTCGCTAAAAACTCGCGCTCAGCCGGCAGTCGTTGAAGGGCATCACGAAGTAACTCGTACCTTGCCGCGACCTCCACTAGGAGAATCCCCCCCTTGAGATCCACCAAAGCCAGGAGATAAAAATCCGCCCCCACCAGCACCGCCAACCTCGTTATTGTTAGCACCTGTGAAGCCAGAGTATCCACTATATCCCCCAGAGCCACCTGTAGGCCCGCCATAACCTCCAAAACCTGCATAGCCACTATAACCTACGGTGGCATTAGTCAAGTCCGACATTACATTATCCAGAGAGTTGCATTTACCTCCTCCAGCCATCATCTTAGTCAGATTACCTTCCGCCGATCAAAGGGTGGACAGACAATGATAGGCAAAGCAACATTGGGCAGTACCTGGTACGGAAGTTCGGACACCCAGTGAGTCATTCCCAATTCTAATGCATTAAGTGAAGAAATGCACTAGTCACGGATGAACAGCCCCCTAGTCAGGTTACGACCGAGCTCGAATAGTAAACGTATTGGGTCTTTCAGCTAGTGCCTCATCAATTAAAGGACCACTTTTAAGCACCCCAAGCCATCATACGTTCTGCCTCCTAGTACTGCAAGTATTGAGGAACACAATCCTCATGCAGTGAATTGTTTTATTTTCCAAATCTCCAAATTTAACATCTCATTATTTCTGTAAAATGTATCATTCGTCACAAAAATGAATACTCTCCCATATTGTTGCACTGTCGTTTGCCTTTTCCTCACACGACACTTTAAGTCATTCTCCTCATCGCTCAGAGAACAAAGAGTTTGGATGCCGTCCAAACCCTCGCACCAAAGTCACAGCTTGGGATCATATTGCAAACTTGCGCAACCTGAGATCTACACAAGGTCTTCGTGTACTTTACGACAGTGTTTGTGCAGAAGTTGAGAAGGCTCAACCCTCAAGAACTAAAATGGTTTTATTCCATTTTCTCTATTTCCAGCCAGCGCATCCCCCGGATTTACAGCCATGTCAAATAGCACTGAAGAGCTCCCGATGACAATAGCTGGATGGAATGTGAATAATAGAACTGATGTCAATCCAGGTAATTAACATCGTGCGATATCCGGCATCAATGGGCCTCCGATATTCCAATGCCTCACCTGGTCACGTGTTGGTCTGATTTCTCCAAAGCTGGTCCACAACCATCTTCCCACGTCTTGGAACATCTTACATTCCTGCCCATCATGCGTCCAACGCGGGCCAAGATAACAGATGCAATTTCTGCGATTGAGCGATGCTTCTTACGCAATCAGGACGGAACAAATAGCGTGAAAGATTCTACCGATAGTCTGTCGATCACCGAGTACGTCAAGGCAACGCGTGCGGTGCAGTTCTTCAGCTCAGCTATTATTGAACCCCTCTTTCTGCAACTGCAATAAATACATAGGATGACAGAGCTACTGGAAAGCTTACGTGGAAGCATACAGAGGGTAATCGGTCCGGTGCTGAACAACTTAACCATAAGCCAACAATGACACGAGTTGTTTTTGGAACTAGGCGGTATCGGTAGAACAGACCAGAAAGCCAGAGTTCGACATTTTTCTTTTAACATTTCAGCGGTGGCTTTTGACGGATATCGCGCGGGATCAAGCTCTACTTTGTGACTTGCTGCTTCCAATCCTGAACGAGGCATTACCTCCTTCAGCATCAATTACCCCCCAGACTGCCCCTTTTGTAGAGAAAACACTCCAATTTGTGAGAGACACAATTTTACGGTGCTCTGTTGCTAAGGATTTGATAGGCAAACATATGATCGGACGACTTGTGGCAACAGCCGTGTGTGTTCATGCATCTACCATGTTGAAGAGACAAGTAGGCAGTAAATGCAGCCCCGACACGTAATCACAGTTTTCCTGATGTCATTCGCCGTTGACTAGGCCTTGGACATCTTAAACTCTCTTCTGGTGAGGTTTTTCCGGTCGGTCGCTTTTACGACATCGTATCGACTATCAATTGTTGGAAATAGGCTAAGAGCAAGGAAAACAAAGCCCTTCTGACCAGTCATACCTGCCTCACCGATCTGTACGTGATAATTGCACTTTTTGTAAGGCTTTTAACCGACAGTTTGCTTTTCCCAGAGACAACCTTGTTCATCTATTGAAGAACGCTGGAGGTTTCTACCATATCACACTTTCCTCGTTTGATTTTTAAAAAGTTAACATATTCATATCATTCAGATGTGGAACTCCAAACTCAGCTGGTCGAATTGCTGTTCAGGTTTGTAGAGCTCTGTGCCGACAAACTCAGGAAGCGCTACAACCATCACCCTTAAAGAATCTGCCCGAAACCGAAACAAGAACGGCTCCAGTTTATAGATACTCTGCATTTGCCAAAGATATTTGCTGATATCCGCGGCGATTATTTTCATCAGGTATCGTAATGAGGGACAACCCTTCGCACATCTCATGGAAACTGATCTCAACTGACATCGATAAACTACTTTACATAATAAGGATTGCCGAGCGTTCCTTAATCAGCTGAATGCTGGAAATGATGGGGTATTGAAGACCCCAAAATCATTCCGCTTGTCTCACGCAGAGTGTGTCCTGGGGGACACAACGTCCTCCCTTACGGTGCGATGTGCCTGGTCGCATAAAGTCGTATTGCCATCAGACCTTAATCTAATAAGTCCATATTAGCTTAATCCTCCTGATGGAGCAGACAGCCTGTGGCTTGATTTCAACACGTCCAGCCTGTCGATCCTCGTGATGATAGCAGGGGTAAGATATATGTTTACGATCTCTAGGAGTGGTGCGGACTGCTAAGTTATTTTTCAAAAGGGGGATATCCTCTCAATCGAATTGGCCTTCTCAAAAGTACAGCGGTGGCAAGTTGAGAGTTCCGCAGGTGCCTTTCTACCCATGACCCCAATCAGAATATGATCATTCTCACTGTATCATTGATGAGTACAGATGCCGTCAGTTTCGTACTGAATCTTTCGGAACCAATTATACTGACAACGTCAGGCTCGCAGAAGGGAAACGAGCCTGTCACTAATAGCTTCAAGTTCTGTGTCCATCCTGAGCCATTAACGCCACCGACAGGTTTGAGCAGAAGTAGTATAGCATTATAGGAGCTCGGCTGAAATGCCTGTTAAGCAGTCGCTGCCATTGAAACAATATTTAAGTCACGGAACTTGGTGAGTACTTTCGCATGTACCAACAGTATCGGCTGCACATGAACCATTCGACATTAGCTGCAGTGTAGGCAGAAAACTTCAGTGCCCGCATCTCGGCCTTTACCGTCTCGATCTGAGGGCTCCATGGACGACTTTGAAATCCTATTCAAGAGAGACCGAGGAGGTAGCCAGTGCATCAACTCCTCTATGTCACGAATCTCCGGCAAAAGAAGGGGTTTTAATGGTGAGAATAGCCCAGAAAGTACTGACGTACACCCGTTCTGCGAGCGACATTCGATTCGGCAAATGACCTCATCTCCGTTAAAAGCGAAGGTCTGTCCAAATACACTGAGACGTCAGGCAGGTACAGCAACCTTTCTGATTACGGTCGCAGAATGATTCTATAGTATCCTCGATATCGGTTGATAAATATACCGCTTACGATGCTGCAGGTAACGACCTGTGTCACATCCTTGGTTTCTGTCGAACGCTCATAATCTAGATGAATGTAGTCAACCCTGGACAGCGCGACAAGGGACTCGACCTATCCATGCACGGTAGTTTCCGATATACTCTGGCTCAGAATGATGCTGGAAGGGTACTGACGATCAGTGTAGTTACCGGTGATGAGGCAGTAGCATCAACCAAACGGCAAAGATGTTATGCAGAACAGCTTCCGAGGGCCGCCTTTCGTGGTAAGGTGGGCAAAGGCACACCAAGAATGACATTACAGAAAGGTATGAAAGGGTTGATATTGCGCTAGAGTTACCGATTGAATGAGTGCTAGAATATACGCCTGGAAGAACCTATCTCCTTCTCTGGCCAGGAGTCTGCGGTGGAGTCGTCCTTAGGGTCTTTGGGCGGGACGAATTCTGATGTCAACGCCCTGTGTCCTCCGCTTGATGAACGGCTACAAGCACAGAAGAAAAACATCACAGTTAATGCTGCAAACCAAGGCTTGTTTTCGCGGTTAAATTCTTCAGCACCAGACGCCATATTTAGTGGCATGGCAGAGGTAATTCACCTACTGACTATTCATGGACCTCCTGTGGGCTACATTACTCTTCCCCTTAATCAGATATACCAACGGAAACTTCGTCACAGAGAGACTGCGATACAGGGCGTAGTTTACAGCTCCATCGACCAGATGGCAAGAGAGGCGTCATCTACGAGAGATAGTGTTTCAGCTAGGTGCTTTCGTGCAACTGTCAGCAAGCAATCCGCAATTGATCCGTCAATGACCCCATGTATTGCCATGTTTACAGGCAAGCAGCTATTAGATCACACTTTGCTCATATATGGAACTATGAAGACGTCATGCGAAAGGATTTAAAGAGGTTGATGGACGAGGCAGGAAATGCAGAGGTGCCGTCTGATGAGCTGAGCGACGAAACCGTCCATGACCTCACACCGTGCCATTTACATGAAGTTGTCTAGCTCATCTCTGATGAACTCCCTTCAACCAGAAGTAATCAATCCCTGAAACTACTATTCGATGAATGATGATAAGATCGTGTGGGAAGTAGCGATCACGTGTTCTTATTTGGGTCGTTTCTGTCGCTTGAAGCAGTAGTCGGACCTGACCCTATTGATTTTATTGTGTCTTGTGTGCGTAGTCTGCGGTATCTAAGCCTATTGTCATCATTATGTAGTATCTACGCGGTATACAACCATATTGACAGTGTATTCCGGATTGCGGCGTTCGTATGGGCAAATCATTCAATAAATCTGATAACAGTGGCCACAGTGTTGCGCTTGGATGGTAATGTGACGGCTTCGCAGCCTTGCAACATGTTAAAATGTTATTACTCGCTGGACGACACACAAGGACGATGCACAAAGTCCAAAAGTTTCTCAACGGTTCTAAGGCACAATACTATATTTGCAGCCAGCGACACAATTCCGTCGCGAGGAGTGTACAATATCGCAACAATGAGAGGCACGGTCACGCGCCTGTATGTCCAATTCGCCTTCCAGCAAACAGAAAATAGGGAGCGCTTCTCCTCGGTCCTGCTCCATCCTTCCAATACATTTAGGTGGAACCGTTTAGCGCATTTGCCAAATTCAGGTTGATGCCGTTAGCTGACGTGTTTGATTGGGCCAGCTGCGCATCTACTTCCATCGCCTATTTCAGCAGAATGTCGGGTTGGATGTTGTGTGTGATGTGTGGTGTGGGGACGGCTGTTCTGATGCGGCGTGAACTTACTTCGTCCTGCATATAAGCTTCCATCTCCGCATCAAGTTCGTCCGCGGTTTTGGGCACTTTCTTATGGACGCCGCTAGCATTGACTCTGCGGCGATTACCTCTGTGGCCACCGCCTACAGACGGTCCTGTGCGTCTATGATTGAATGAGTAACATAAAAGAATGCCTGAAACATGGTGTGAAAGATAAACTTACCCGAGCCGTCCGCCAGTGCTCCGACGCGGAGCCGCTGAGGGTGTCAAAGCTGGCGCGGCATCAGCCCGCACAATTAGTTCAATTTTCATCGGCTTATTATCCAAAGTTCGGTTATGATATTCACGAATGGCCGCCTGTGCGTCTTTTGGTCGACTAAAGATCACGTTTGCAACTCCCTTTGACCTTCCCTGGGCATCATAGTTTAGTTGTGCGGACCGAACGGGGCCTGGAAACCAGAGGTTTACAACGATTCATAACAGTGAAGCAACCAGCGCACAGAATATACCAATCTGACTGAAGAGCTCGTGAACATCATTCTGGGTAACACTCTTGGCCAGGTTTGAAACGACAATCTTGTCAGAGATGTTCGTCGCCGCAGTTGGACGGAGAGAAGAGTTTGCGTATGGGCGAGCCCGGTCATCTCGTCCAGAGCGACGAGATGTTCGCATCGCACCTCCACCTCCTCCACGTTTGCCGCGCTGAGGTTTGTTTTTTACAATCTAAACCGATGCGGAGGAGGCGTTCGCAATCAGCGTTTTGTTTCACATCCCTTTGCAAGTTCTCGAAAGGAGGACGGCGAAGGGTAGGAGGAAGCCACAAGAGTGGACAGACGAGCTAAGACCTACAATGTCGTCCAGCGACATATCCAATAATCCGCTGTTGGTAGCCATAATGTGTTGTCAACGACAGGAGGAGAGATTCTGGAAATTATACGAAGGTCTGTCCGTCAGTTGCTTAGTCAACTCGATACGTCTCCGAATCCGAACTCATCGCATGTCGTCCTAAGGGCAGTACCTTTGAGCACGAACGTCCAGTGTGGGGGATCTCTTCACAGCAACGAGAGTGCAGGACAAACGTTTGTTGCTCGGGACGTGGCACGCGAATTCCTTGCAGACACTAGCGATAAAATCATCCAATCAAGACGAGTTGGATGACGTAACGGGAACGAAACAGACTAAGCAATGCAGATGAACCACCAAAGGCCGTGGGGCAACTCCGCACCATCTTCTGTAAACGTCAGGCTATGTCTACCGCCATCGATCCTTCCCCAGGCTCATCTACTAATATCTCTGATGCCATCCTAAACGACGTATCAGAAGTTCCATGTTCTGGAGACTCGACAGTCGTGAATGTTTCGGCTTTGGAATATACTGGGAAAATGAATGGCTTCTCCTGGAAGACTTTTGCAAAGTTTGTTGGGCCGGGGTACATGGTTGCGGTTGGATATCTGGACCCAGGAAACTGGGCAACTGATCTTGCTGGTGAGGATAGGCTTTTAGTTTTTGTGTCAACGGTAGCATTAGAAGGTCTTGATATCTAACATCGGTCCAGCCGGTTCCCAGTTTGGCTACCGTCTCCTGTTTATCGTTCTTCTATCGAATCTGATGGCTGTACTTCTGCAGTCTCTCTGCATCAAGCTTGGTATTGTCACAGGACGGGATCTCGCGCAAGCCTGTCGAAGATATTTTCCGGCTAAGCTGAACATTCTTCTTTACATCCTGTGCGAACTGGCCATCATCGCGACGGACATTGCCGAAGTTATTGGAACCGCTATTGCCTTGAAATTATTGTTCAACCTGCCACTACCGCTGGGTGTTGTGGTTACCTCATTGGACGTTTTGGTCATTCTGATGGGATGGGACGTCAAGCATATCAGGCTGTTTGAATGGTTCATAATATTTTTGATGGCTACCTGCGGGGTCTGCTTTGCGATGCTAGTAGGGAAGAGCCATCCAAACTGGCGTACGGTTTTCACAGGCTTTTTACCTACACCCGAAATTTACACGGAGAGTGGCCAGCTTTACATTGCCATGGGAATCATCGGAGCCACAGTATGTTGAAAGTCATATCCATTGGAGGAACCTGCTCACTAACAACATATTAGGTGATGCCACACAATCTGTACTTACATTCGAGCATCGTTAAATATCGCGCGCCCGGACGCGCAAGTGTGGTCGGGGCTATTCACGAGATAGAAGCTTGTGAATCGGACAGCGAGGACGAAAGCTATCAGCCGTTGTTGCGCAAATCCAACTTACCTGTTGCGCTACGTATGACCCATTTGGATTCGGTCATTGCCTTAACGTTCGCGCTGTCGATCAATTCGGCCATCTTGATTGTCGCTGCGGCGAACTTCTATGGGTCGGAAGACAAGGATGTGGCTGAACTTGAGGATGCATTCGTGTTGCTCCAAAAATATTTAGGCACATCTGCAGGCATACTGTTTGCTGTCGCGCTGCTATTTTCGGGCCAGAGTTCAACCATCACAGGGACAATGGCGGGTCAGATCATAATGGAAGGGTTTTTGGGAACAAGTTTCCGACTGCGACCATGGATCCGGCGACTTGTTACTCGCGTCGTAGCCATCATCCCTGCCATGATAGTCGCTCTCGTGGAGGGCGACAGGGGGGTAAACGATCTGTTGGTCTTCAGTCAAGTCGTATTAAGGTATTCGTTAGAGCGCAGAACTTGAGAGTGACATCCTAAATGCTTACTTCCATATTATCCATAGTCTACAGTTACCATTTGCAGTTTGGCCACTGGTGTATTTTACGTCCAGCAAGAGAGTCATGACCCTCAAATTCGAGGGAACAGGGCCAGCAGAGTCATCAGAAACGGATTCGTTAGGTATCGTACCTTTGCAGCTGATAATACCTGGTCAGTGTAGCTTACAGCAGACGTTCTCGCAGTTGACACACGGTACGGCCCCAAGACCGTCGAAGAGGACGCTTCTGAAGTGTCATATGCCAATGGGGTTACTACCACTGTTCTGGCTGTGGTAGTTGCGACATTGATAACAATGTTCAATGTTATCCTAATTGTGCAGGTTGCTATGGGAAAATCTTGAAAGCGCCAGCAACAGCAGATGTAAACCTTAGTATTGTACATATGTTAGTCATATAGTTGTGTAGATAGAATAATCAATCGCTGTGCTTCTACGATACTTCAGTATTATTTGGACGATATTTTTAAGGATAGATATATCAACCATGGCGCAATGCCGATATCGTCCATCACGCCTCCCTGGTCCCGCGCTGCCCTTGAACGAGCACTGCAGAGCTGGTGTTTCTGGAAAGTACACCGAATGATCGATTCACATCAGATCCGTTGATTGCATGCGCATCTCGCGACTGCGCGGATGATGCAAACTCTATCTTCAGCTCCTCCATGTTATGATGAAAGAATCCGTCACGGTTGCATCGTTGACATCAAAATAGGCTCAAGCTATACATTAGACTACAGGTGCTTTACCAGGCAAGATACTAGAACTTAGAAATAGGCATAATGTTGTTGATGTCCCGATCTGCGCTGCCCACCGCCGCGGCCCATTCCACCCGGCATTCCGCCCATTCCAAAAGGAGATCCCCCGAACTGAGCGCCACCAAAGGGTGATCCTCCATGAGCAAACCCGTGCGGCATTCCACCCATGCCGCCACCGAACAATTGCGAAAGTATATCCATGTCGGGCGGCCCACCGTGTCCAAAAGGCGAATATCCGTCAGACGCAGAGGCCCCATCTACGTCCATTCCCGAATCAAACATGTGCTTTTTACGTGGATCCGACAGAACTGTGTACGCCTCGCCGATCTCCTTAAACCTGCTCTCAGCGATCGCTTTCTCCTCGTCTGATAGGCCAGCGCTCTTGTCAGGGTGGCACTGGAGAGCCAACTTCCTGTACGCCTTTTTCACCTCTACCTCACTTGCACTCCGGGCCACCCCAAGGATCTTATAGTAATCCTTCCGCTTAGACTGTCGTAGGAGATTTCGAGCGGTGTTCAAAGCCCTCGCTATATCTGACAAGAGAGATAACAAAGAACAAACTAAGCCGCAGTTGCGCCAAGACCAGAGGTCACCATATCCTACCTCCGTCTGTCGGCTTCAGCTGCTCGGCATTGGTGTAATCACGCACCGCATCCTCGTAATTTTCGAGCTTCATATAGCAATCTGCACGGCGAAGGTACAGTTTGCTAAATAATGCTGAATTTGAGGAATTTCGGAGGTCGCCAGGTGAGATTCCTGATGTTTCCGAGCCGGGAAAGGACAGTTTTTCTAACAACTCAATCGCAACCGTGCAGTCACGGGCAGCCAAATCGTACTGGGATAACTAAGCACCAACGAAAATTAGAGTGTATTTCTATCTGCTTCCCTTTGAGGATCACAACTTACCCTGCTCCTAACAATTGCACGATTGCTAAGCACTTTCACCTTCATGACGCCTTGTTCGTCATCCGCCTCCAGGCAGCGTTCATAGGCGTCCAAAGCCTCCTGGTACCGCCCTGCTTTGAAGGCGTCATTACCCTCATTCTTCATGCCGTCCAGTCTTCGGACTTTTTTCAGTAGCTCTTTGGCTCGCTTGTTGTCCGGGTCATACGATAGCGCCTGCATTAACAGCTTTGGGATAGCTTCCGGCTTTGTGTCCTGCAAGTACATCACACGGGCACGAATTGTTATTGCCTCCACGTTGGTGGGGTCCGCGGATAGCACACCACTTCAAGTTTTGGCAATTTTGGACAACAACGATGAGTCAAAACCTGCAAAGCCAAGGGTAGCAAACCACTGTCACACCCAAACCTACGTGGTAACCTTTGCAGCTCCTTCCAAATCTCGACATTCAATCAAACATTCAGCTCGGAGTAGCCGCCACCGCATTGGCATCGTGTCCAAATCTAGCCCACTTAATCGGGTGCAACTTGAAGAAGATGAGGTTCTCAAAGTTGGATCTAAAGTGATCATCGCCATCTCCAGCTGTGTCAACGCCTGCTTGTGTTGTTTGCTGACTATCAGCTTGTGCACCTGTGCCATGAACGATCCTATTTTGGCCACTATAGCCAGCTGGCAAGATATTCATTACTATATGTGCAAAGGCTGAGGCTTCTCACAGCAGTTTTACTCACATCTCGATCTACCGCTCCTGCATTATCCTGCAGATGTGATTTGCCCTTGATGTGGACCTTTACCTGTCGCAACATCCTATCCGCGTCTTCCAATTGACCGAGGTGTAACTGACACTTTGAGGCCCTCAAATAGGCCTTTACATTATCAATATCCAACTCGATTGCCCTTTTGCAATCCTTTAATGCATCACTGTATCGGCGGAGCATCATCAGCGCCGCAGCTCGGTTTGCGTAGTACATGCCAGTTGTTGGTCGAATATCTTTGCTCAAAGGTCAACACGCGCCAGCAAATGTGTATCAGGTAAACTACACACCAATGGCTTCTGTATACAGGTCCGCTGCTTCCCGATATTCCGCCTTTTTATAGAAGTCATTGGCTCGTGCTTTGACCGCCTCCGCACGAACCTCTCTTTCACTATCCTCGCTGATCGTCACCATAAATGAGAGTAGTGGAGGAAGGTCAGAGAACGCCAAAGATAAAGATTTCGTTGCTAGCTTATCGGGGCATTCTCAGTCTGCCATATATCACTCCCCAGCGCTCAAAGTGACATCTCCCAATACCCCAGTGGATCTGCATATACCCACCTAGTAAGGTCCACCACATCCTCCATAACGTCGGCAGTCATGCTTATAGAATGTGGGATCTTTTGATGAATTGCGAAATAAGCTTGGCCGATCGCGGGCTTATTCGGAGTTTCGCTTGAAGGGCAAACAGGCTAGTTGCAGGCAGGAAACCGTTTCAATTCGCCATGAAACAGCACGTGACTTGATGGCCAGCTGGTGAGGACCACATTGAAGTCACTAGTGTGCAAGCTCGTGCGTGCAACGCACTTGATAGACGACCCAAGAAATAATGAAACGAAGGCTAATGGAGTTATGGAAGCACTTTTATAAATGCATATATCTTTGGACATCTTGAGATACAGCATGGGGAGAAAGGCTGGGAATGCTTTTGATAGGTAGCCAGGATTGGGGGTACAAATACCACTACCCTTGGTAATAAGGGGACAGCAACAGAAAATGCGCCAGTGATTTACAATGCATGGTTATGGTCGTGTGGATGGTCATGTAACAGCTATTTAGTGCGGAGCCGGTGGGTATTGGCACTAGCACCCGCACCAGGGATTGAACCGGCGACAACCGGCTCGGAAAACCTAATCTAACTAGTCTACGCTACGCTACCACTGGAACACCCCTCCTGAACACCTCTGGTCTACCGTGTCCATCTAACATTGATTGCACGATCATCAGCATGTTGCAGGTGCTCAGCGTGTCCCTGTTCCAGTAGCGCATCGTCCAGGCTTGCTGACAGTTAGGGTTGGTACAACCCAGCAATCCATGGACTTTTTCAATCTTGCCTTCGCGATGGTGCCAAGGTCTTGCATGAGGTCATTCTTTGAATTTTTTCTCCACAAACTCAGATGAGGAACAGCAAGGGCAGACAGATGAGGTCTTGTACTCGTCAAGAAGGAAGCAGTTGATCCTGTTGCACTTAAAGAGGGTGTGCCAACCTTTCATCTTTGATGAGGTCTGAAATCTTGCAGTTCGACCGGCATTGCTCCAATCTCCCATCACAATGGTAAAGTTTTCACTGTACTTGTTGCATAAGTTGGATATGAGGTTCGATTCACTCTTCTGATGGTTTATAAATGCATGCCACTTCCACCGCGTGTGGGCAGGATGCGAATAGAAGTCCTTTCAATGATCCCAATCAGTGCACTGAACAAGGAGATAGCACATGAAGTCCATGAGGTTCATTGTCTTGTGACTAGGGATATGTGATTCTATGAGGTCCATTCCCACTTCCTTCTTCATCTGCTGCCATTCTTTTGCAAATTGACGGCTTCCAGTCTCCACGGCTTGCTGGTTGGTGGTGTAGCGAAATGTCATACCACTGTTGTCTTGGCAGTAGAGAATATTGCACTTGTTTGGGTCGATAATGATGACATTCTCTGCTGCTCAACAAGCAGGTAAGTTTTTCTCCATGTATTGCACTTTAACTTCATCCTCTAAACTCTTTGCTGACTTTCTCACTCTGCACTTTCCATACTTGTCTGCTCCTGGGTGCTTTAGGTATACAGACACTGAGGTCCCATCTGTCATGATCGAGCCTTCAAACTGCATACTGCAGCAAGACCGAAAAGCTTTGGTACATAGATTACAGACACACAACCATAAATCGACCTTTTTGACAGTTTCTGCTTCTCTTCACGCGATGCAAAGGATATGCTGGTAGAGAATGATGGTGTCGATCCGCACATGGCTTTGGATGAGAGACCAACGAAGAGGGATTGCACTGAACTGTTGAAATCCATGTTGTTCATACAGCCCAGAGAGTTTGCAGTATGCAGGAAAGAATGCGAGAGGGTCTACAGCAATGGAATATGTGAGTGGCTGGTTGTCAGAAAGGGGAATGTTAAGTGTAATGGATTTTTTGTTGGTTAACTACAGTAAAGACAACTTGGGTCTCCTAGCAGGTTAGGTGGGTGTCCATACTAGGAATCGTAGTCTCCGAATCCTTTCTTTGGGCGTCAGTAGCGAATTGGGGGCAAGAGGCAAGGAGAATCGGTTAGTTGTGAACTGAGCAGGATTTAGAGGCTTCAGTGTGGGTGATCAGGCCGTTGAAGCGCTCTGTTGGGTTCCTGTTAACCTAAGATTGGAGTTGAGAAGCTAGTTGTGGGGATTTTAGTGTTGCTACGGCTTCTGCCCCCCTGCCTTTTTTTCTATTGAATACATCCTTTTTATACAAGATTCTAGGATAAACTGTTAAACTAAACTAAACTAATGGGTGCCGCTGCACCACAACTGATTTATTGGTGGCGGTACCAATTTCTTCCTTTTTCGCACTGGCTCGGGCCTCCACAGGTTGTATGAGGCATGCTGAAATCTAATGCACCGATTGCCATTCTCCGAACTGGTTTTTTTGGTTGCGGTAACCTAATCGGTGGAGTTGGTCACGTGATTTGTGCTTCCCGCATCCGATTTGGGCTTACTCGCGATCTCTCGAAGACATCCTCGTCATTACATCCCCCCTTTGAAGAGCCAATGCACCAGCACTTCGAGCGGGGGTGTTGGGACATCAATTACCAGGTCAGTACCAGATCTGTGGGGTCCGCTTCATCTGCATTTTGGTTCATGACCCAGATGATACTGGCACGGCCACTGACGTTGCAACAAAACCAGATTTGATCTGTTGCAGTACAAATGATGGTACCCGGGGTCACGTCGGGGCCAGTTCTGGTTACGTAGAGGGCCATAAAGGTATCCGTGGCCCTTTTCAGGTTTGTCACATGGAAATGGTACTCCACATGCTTGTGATGTCGGGGTCTGGTGAGCCTTGCAGAGGCTTCTGCTGTGTTTGCCATCCTTAGGAGCACCATCCTAGCTGCTTCAATGACGGCGGACACAAACTCGTGGGCATCATCGTTCAGCCAATCAGTGAACGGAGCTGTTTTTTGGCTTCCCGCCTCGTGTTCGGGAACCCCGCGGTCGAGCCAAGTGGCGCACGGAGCTGGGCGCCCTCTTTTTCTGGGTTTTTTCACATCAGCAACTATTCTGACCGCTGCTTCACCACTGTCGGTGGCCTTGCTGTAGGGGTCCACGATGTGGTTTGTGAGGGGCTGGCCCACTGTGTAAGGTTTCGGAGCGTTGACTCCCAGCCAAAACTCATGCCCTGGAGTCTGCAGCGGCACGTTGGGGTTGGTCCGAAGCTGATGAACTGTAACAGGCTAGCAGGGACAAGAAGACAATAGAAAACTAGGGAAGACTTAGTTAGTTACTACTTGTTATTTTCCTTTTGAGGGGCCTCAGAGAGGTCCTCTTTTTATAGACAAAGGGGCTGACAAATGCTATATCCTAACTACCCAATCAGATCTCGCCCACATCATCCTAAACTATTTGTCAGCCTATTGCACCATTTATAGCCAATCACAAGTGAGACAAGTCATCCTAAATACACTGTGCCACTTGATTGAAAGGGGCAGATGCCAGTGTGTCAGAATACTCATCTAATTTGGCCAGAAATGGCTAAATCTGCTTATTTATCTAATTCTGGTCAAATGAATGCTGACACCATCAGCAAAGTCATGTGACCACTAGTTTGGAACCACATCTAAGCAGTATAACCATAGCACTGACAGAAGAATTCTGTCACACTCCCCCACTTTAAGATTAAGCTCCCTTCTGGGCTAGGAACTCCTTCAAGATTTCTCTGCCATGGGGTAGGAGGTTTTCTTCTGGTTCCCAGGTGTTCTGAGAGGAGGGATAGCCTTTCCACTTGATGAGGTAGAGATTCTTCTTCCTTCTGGTCTTGTGGTCAAGAATCTTCTCAACTTCCCAAAACTCTTCTCCTTGCTGGATAATTGGCTCAGGCTCAGGGGGTACTGGTCTGGTAGGGAAGTCCTCTGTGGGGTCCAAGTAAGTCTTGAGGAGTCTGACATGGAACACTGGATGAATCTTCATGGTGCTGGGGAGCTCCAGGGTGTAATTCTGAAATTCATCCTTGGCCTTGATTCTGTAAGGTCCAAGCCAGGGGTGAAGAAGTTTCTGGGCTGGCCTCTGGGCTTCTTCTTCTGGGGTGATACCTTCTCTAGATAGCCAAACTTTGGAGCCTAGGGGGTAGCTTGGGGCCTTGTTGAGAGACTTGTTGGCTTGCTGAACTTGTCTTTCTTGGGCCAGTATCATGTTATCCTTGGCTACTTGAAGCAGTTGCTGAATATACTGGTGGAAGTCTGTTGCTTCAAGATCATTGCTTTCTCCTGGTGGTGTTGCTGGGGTCCTGGGATGCTGGCCATTCTCCAAGTAGAATGGGGTAAAGCCTGTGGTTTCTGAGATACTGTTGTTGTAGGCAAACTCAGCAAAAGGGGAGAAGATCTTCCCAATTCTTCATGTTGTACTCCAGGAAAGCTCTGAGGTAGATCTTCAAAGTCTTGATGGTTCTCTCTGCCTGTCCATTGGTCTGCTGGTGCCTTGCAGTGGCTAGGAGGGTGTTGCAGCCTAAGAGTTGCATCAAGTTGGACCAGAACGAACTGGTGAACTTGGTGTCTCTGTCTGATACAATCACTTCTGGGAGGCCATGGTGCTTGAAGATATGCTTCAGGAAGAGCAGGGCCAGGTCCTTGGCTGAGGCTCTGGTGGTACTGGGGATGAAGTGGCCTCTCTTTGACAATCTGTCAACAATGACAAAGATGGCATTGTGATCAGAGGAAGTCATAGGTAGGTCAGGGATCAGGTCAATGGAGATCTGGCTCCATCTGGTCTTAGGTACTGGGAGGGGCTGCAGCAAGCCTGCTGGTGGTTGCTGACTAGGTTTGCTTCTCTGGCAGGAATCACAAGACTTGACATACTTCTTAATGTCCTTATACATCCTTGGCCAGTAGTAATGCCTTGCTAGGGCATCATGGGTCTTGGTGATGCCAAAGTGTCCAGCATATTGAGTGTCATGGGTTTCTTGGAGTAGGCTCAACCTTAGGTCTGGGTCACCAGGAACAAAGATCCTGTCCTGGAAATAGAGTAACCCATCTTGATGGCTGAGGTATTTGAGCCTTTGTTGCTGGTCTTCTGGTCTCCTGGGGTCATCCAAAGCTTGGATGAGCTCTTGAAGTTCTGGGTCTTCTGTGGTACTGGTCTTCAATCTCTCTTGAAGGGTGCTGGTGGTGTGGGTCACAGCATTCAACTCTGCTGTCACCAAGGCCTTGCACTTGATGCATCTTGGGGCCAGGTCTGGTCTTCTAGACAGGATGTCTGCCACTGTGTGGAGTCTTCCTGGGCCATAGCCAATCTCAAAGTCAAAAGATTGGAAATTCATGACCCATCTGGCTTGTCTTCTGGTCAAGAAGGGCTGGTTCTGTAGCCACTTGAGGGACTGGTGGTCTGAGATAACTTTGAAGGGGGGTTCCTTCCAGGTAGGGCCTCCAAACTCTGAGGGCATCATGGTATTGAAACTTAGCGCTTGGAATACTGATTTCCCGTGTTGAAATCACTTCTGGAAGGCCTAGTAATGCCTGTGGCCGCTAGTAAGACTTCTGGGTGCAGTAACTTGTGGGATAACACGCTTGTATTAATCCAGAGACATGCAAAAGTCCCCTTTATATAACCCAGTACATTCTCCAGCCTCCCTCCGCCTTTGTTTACTGTTTACATGCTTCAGCCCACTTGTTTACATGCTCAGCCGTGCTCAGCAATGCTCAGCAGCTTCAGCCATGCCTTGGCAAACATTACCTGAAGATCTAGATCACCACAAACCTTCCAGACCTTCTAAGAGCGCTTACATGATGATTTACCCCTTTAAATCATTCCCACACGCGTCTGTGATCATTCTGATTACTCTATGTCCAATTCCCCACGTTGTAACTTAGCCAAATCAGATGTGAACTGTCTAATGACATCCCAGCATGATCTCACATGATTTATAGATCATACAGCGTGGTTTAAGCCTGAATCTCAACACTCCCACTCAGTGAATCATCTGATTTCCGACAGAGACCCATTTTGCCACAAAGTTTAAGGTGCTTTGTCTTGGGTAAAGCCTTGGTGAGAATGTCAGCTGTCATTTCTTCTGTCTGACAGTACTTGAGGCTGATGTTCTTGTCTTCTACTGCTTGTCTGATGAAGTGGTGCCGCACATCAATGTGTTTGGTCCTTGCATGATGTGTTGGGTTGTTGGCAAGTGCTATGGCGCCCTGATTGTCACCATACAATGTTGTAGGACCACTTTGCTGATGTCCTAGTTCGCCTAGAAGTGTTCTGAACCAGATAACTTCCTTGGTAGCTTGACAAAGAGCCATGTACTCTGACTCTGTTGATGATAGAGCGACTGTAGGTTGCCTCTTGCTTTGCCAGCTGACTGTGCTGCTGCCAATCTTGACTAAGAAGCCAGTGGTAGACTTCCTGAAGTCCAAATCACCGCCCCAATCTGCATCAGAGTATGCAGATAGCTCCCACTTGCTCTGAATGCCGCCCAGTTGAAGTCCTAGGTCTGTGGTGCCATTCAGGTACCGCATGATCCGTTTGACTGCATCCAGTGCTGATGTCCGGGGTTGGAAAGATACTGGCTAACTGATCCAACTGCTGCTGCTATGTCTGGTCTGGTGCCCAGCATTGCATAAATGAGACTTCCAACAGCACTTCTGAAAGGAACCCCATTCATTTCTTGCTGTTCTGCCTCAGTTTGTGGTGACATGGCCTTGGTGAGCTTCTGGCCATTCTCTAGTGGTGTGGCAACTGGTTTGCTGTTACTCATATTGAATTTCTTCAATGTTTGACCGAGGTACCGCTGTTGGGAGAGCCAGATTGACCTGTTGGCTCTGTCCCTGACCACTTGAATGCCGAGAAAATGCTCTAACTGGCCCATATCAGCCATCTTGAACCGCTTCTTGAGTTCTTCTTTGAGTTTTAACAACTCCTGGTTGTCCTTTGCTGCCAGAATAAGGTCATCCACATACAGGATAAGGTGGATGCCCATCTTCTTGTTGATGTACAGCCCGTGGTCTGATTCACACCTTTCAAAGCCAAGTTCTTTGAGTTGCCCATCAATGACTTTGTTCCAGGCTCTTGGAGCTTGCTTTAACCCATACAAACTCTTCTTTAGCTTGCAGACAAGTCCATTTGCCATGGTGAAGCCTTCTGGTTGGTCCATGTAGATGTCCTCCTCAATGGTCCCATTCAAGAATGCTGTCTTGACATCCATTTGGTGAATCTCCATGTCCTTCATGGCTGCTAGTGTCAGGACCGTCCTGATGGTTGCAAACTTGACTACTGGGGCAAATGTCTCCTTGTACTCCAGTCCTTCAACTTGGGAGTATCCTTTGGCTACCAGTCTGGCCTTGTAGCGCTCTACAGAGCCATCTGACTTGAGTTTCAGCTTGAAAACCCACTTGCAGCCAACTGTGGATCTTCCTGGTGGTAGTTTGACTAAGTCCCATGTCTGATTCTCCATCAGAGAGTCATATTTTGCTTTGACAGCCACCTCCCACTGTTTGGCATCATATCTGGTCCTAGCTTCAGTCAGAGTGCTGGGTTCTTCCTGTGGAACTTCCCCAATGGTGAAGGCAAACGCCAGATTTGACTGAGTTGGCTTTGCAATCCACCACTCTCCCAGTGGTTTGTGAAATCTGGCACTCTTCCTGCTGAGTTCTGGCACTTCCTCAGCATCCTGGAAGTCGTCCCGATCATCTTCTGATGCTGAAGAGTTGTCTGGAGTGATGCTAGATGGTCTCTGAGTCTCTTGAACCGTCCCTAGCCCTTCTTGGTCATCCAAGAACGAAGGCTCCCCTCCTAGAGGCATCTGTAGCTCTTGGTCTTGCTGTGGTACACTCTGCAGTCACTGCTGAGTGCTCCACATCAAGTTTTCATCAAAGATGACGTCTGATACAGTGCAGATAAGCCGTACGGCTTATCTGCACTGTATCAGCCGGCTTATTTATGATTATAAGCTGGCTTATTATTCTATATACCCGGCTTATTATATATTACATCAGCCCGGCTTATTATATTTAAACGCCCACTCCATATTTAAACGCCGTGTCAATTTAACTCAAACGTGGTTCTAACCACTCGGACCCCATCTCGAACACACCAATTTCGAATAGTTTTTTCCCTTCATACTTTGCCAGCATTTTTTCCATGATTGCCCCATCATGTGCTTTCGAATCCTCCTTCAGTTACTGATACACACGACACCTTCAGTCTCAATACATTCCGTTGCATGCGATAGATGGCGGAAATCTGTGTCACCTGGTCTTCCGTGTATCCGGCATTCATTAGCTCCTTCTTGATATCGTTTGTAAGCGCCCCCAACTTCTCCTCTACTAGCGATGCCACATACATATTCGAGCCATCTTCACCAATGATTGACCGGATACCTAAGTCCACCATCTTCCTTTCAATCGCCTCCTTACTCCGTCGATTCCCTGTTACTATCTTTTGGTACTTCTCATTGTCAACCGTTAGTTGGTAGAATCTCTTAATGTCAAACAGCTCCTCTCCACTAGCTCTCCTTATCAATTTCTGAGCCGCAAGGCGACTCAGCGCGCTCGAAGGAGCACTGTCCATGGTTAATCGATGCCGTGTGAATCGCTCATAATCGTAATTGTTTTGGTGGGCAGGGGAGGGACATTGAACCATCGACTTTATGCAAAAACTTGGACTTGCTATTGATAGTTGCTTTTCCCACTTTACATCAGCAGATTACTACACGTACGACTCACGTGATGCACCTTCCTAATATGGTAATCAACTATCGATAGATTCACTTTGCAAAGCAATTCATGTGATTTGCCATGTCCCAGACATGTTAGTCCCCCGATCATGACTCAGCTTCAGTTAGCCAATCTTGATCGTAATTCTTTAAATACAGCTTTGGTTTCCGAGGTCGCCTACGGCGAAAGTAAAGGAACATTCAATGGCCACACTACGCGTCCTCGCTTGAGCCTGCGCTCAGCGCGCTCCGAAGGGAGCGCTGTCCTTCATAAGTGTGGAGTCAGACGGTGTAAATGAAAGTGAATGGTGACTCGATTCCGCATATACTAAAATTAGGGGGGCCTGTTTGGGGGGCCTGTTTT